ATACTTTTCATCTGTATTCACAGAGGAGAAAGAAAGCTGGGGATTTCAGTTGATGATGAGGTTCTAGAATACATTAAGATTAATTAAGGAGGAAGTGTTAGATATTTTAACAGGCATAAGATGCACCAGGGCCTCATGAGATATATCTCGTACCGTTATGGGAGACAAGGAAGGAGATTGCTGGGGCCCTGGGGAGATATTTGATACCTTGCTGGCCACAGGTGAAGTACCAGATGACTGGAGGAGAGCTACTGTGATTCCTTTGCTCAAGAAGAGCAGCAGGGATAGGTCAGGTAATTACTGATCAGTTAGTCTGACATCAGTGGTATGAAAATTATTGGAAAAATTTCTGAAGGGCAGGATTAATCAATAATTGGAATGGCAGGGATTAATCAGGAACAGTTAGCATGGGTTTTTTTTTCAAGAGGGCGATCCTGTCTGACAAATTTAATTGAGTTTTTTGAAAGGAGGCTAAATATATTGATGAGGGTAGAGCAGTTAATGTGCTCTATGTGGACTTCAATAAGGCCTACGACAGGATCCCACATGGAAGGCTGGTCCAAAAGGTAAAAGGTCGTGGGATTCAAGGCAAGTTGGCAAATGGGATACAAAACTGGCTCAGCGGGGGGAAGCAATGACCTAGTGGTATTATCGCTAAACTATTAATCCAGAGACCCAGATAACATTCTGGGAACCTGGGTTCAAATCCCGCCAGGGCAGATGGTGGAATTTGAATTCAATAAAATATCTGGAATTAAGATTCTAATCATGACCTTGAATCCATTGTTGATTGTTGGAAAAACCCATTTCATTCACTAATGTCCTTTAGGGAAGGAAACTACCATCCTTACCTGGTCTGGCCTACATGTGACTCCAGACCCACAGCAATGTGGTTGACTCTTAACTGCCCTCTGGGCAATTATGGAGGGACAATAAATGCTGCCTCGCCAGCAATGCCCTCATCCTGTGAATGAATAAAGAAAAAAAGGAGGTAAAGGATGACAGTGGAGGGTTGTCTTTGTAGTTGGAAGCCTGTGACCAGCAGTGTGCCACAGGGTTTGGTACTAGGACCTGCGCTGTTTGTTATTTACATTAACAACTTGGATTAGTGTAATTCAGCGTTTGTTATTTAGCATAGACATGGTAGGCCCAAGGGTTCTGTTTCTATGCTGTATAACTCTATGACTGTCATAAGGACTCCACTTAGTAGGGATCAGCAGCAAGAAAGGAGAACAAAGCCTTTGTGGTTACATAAGTTATGTATAAGTTAAATAGGTTATACGAAAAAAAAAAGTTAGTTTGAATTTCCTATTTGGAATTGTCAGATAACATTTATTGCTTTGTATTACATTTCCACATTACACATTATTAATTCTGATCTGCATAGCCTAACAATTGCTGCTGTCACATGAAGTACCTGACAGAGAGAAAAGACACGTGTTAGCTCTGGCACAATGAGAATTGTATGGCTTATCATTTGGTAGATGATCATTGCTTTTAGTTTATTCTTTCATGGGCAAGTTGGAGATTTATTCCTCATCCCAAATTGGCCTTGAATTGGGGATAACAAGGTGTAGAGCTGGATGAACACAGCATGCCAAGCAGCATCAGAGAAGCAGGAAAGCTGACGTTTCGGGCCTAGACCCTTCTTCAGAAAGGGTCTAGGCCCAAAACGTCAGCCTTCCTGCTCCTCTGATGCTGCTCGGCCTGCTGTGTTCATCCAGCTCTACACTTTGTTATCTCAGATTCTCCAGCATCTGCAGTTCCTACTATCTCTGGCCTTGAATTGACTGTCTTGCTGAAGAGGAGTTAAGAGTCAACTACATCACCACGTTTCAGAAGTCACATGTAGGTCAGACTGCATAACAATGGTAGATTTCCTTCCCTAAAAGACATTGCTTCACCAGTTGGTTCAGAGAGTCAACTTGATCACTAACATGGAGATTTCATACTGATGCCATCAAGGTGGCTGTCAGTGTCCAATGCCACCCTGGCACAGCTGCAGAGGAGCAGGACAACATTGGAAAGCTATCCCAGAGCATGTCTTTCTGATTTTTGCCACAACCCTGCTTCTGCCTAGATGAGAAAATTGCAACCAATGCACCATCAATATCTAGAACATGGACAATTACTAAAATAAAGCAGCAGCTCCATGAAGAATAAACAATTGGATGACATGAAGTTAGAATATAAAGGATACAAGTGTCCTCATGAGTAGTTAAACATCCAAATCCTCTTTGTGACAGGATGTGTCAGCAATGGAGCTGCCTAGAATTCAAATCTATTAATCACATACCTGGATGTTCAGTAGACCATTCAAGAATGAGAAATCTAAGAAGTAATTCTCACTGAAAAGAAGATATCCTTGAACAGTTTGAAAAAAGTATCCAATCCTAACAAGCCCATGCAAAATGAGTTTAAGGTGATCAATGCTTTGACAAATATTGCTGCCCTTGTGTCTGTTGCTGTTTAATGAAAGTTTGTGTGTTCTGTTCGGTTACTGGTTTCTTTTGAAGTTAATTGCCTTTCACTCTTAATCTTTAAATTCTGTCCCTTCCCTGCAGACCCCAATCATCTTGATACCCGTTCTTTAAAGATATCTGCAGTACCATTCAACTTTCTATAATAGGAACTGTCTCTAGCTTCACCCTATCATCTCTACTAAAACAATTCCAGAAGCCTGAAGAAGAAAGAAATGTATCACTTTTGTTGGAACAAAATAGCAAATGGTCTATTTTAGGTACAAGTTAACAAAACTAAAACTGATGCTACTTGTGAATTTCTGATTGTGAAAGCCCTGTGTGCAGTTCAAAGTAAATGGAAAAATCCCTTCACTTTAATCATTCTGCGCAAACATATAGTGGCAGAACATTTAATTCTTAATATTCCTACAAAATTTTTATGAAACCAACATCACAGAAAGCATTTAGCCTTCAGTTTACCTAGCAGTACCCTAAAATAGTTCTTTCCAATGACTCAGATAAAAATAGAAAGCTATGTACCAGAAAAAAAAGTAATCTGATTTATCAGGTCAGTCCCTAAGTCCAGAAATATCACACATTCGATTGTTCTCATTTTCTCCAAAAAAGCACTTCCAAAAAAATCACAACCTACCAACATTGCCTTTTCACTGGTTTTGATGTAAAATTTCAAACTGCATGTTCATCTTTTCACTTCTGAGTCTGATTTTATGCCTTTTTGTTCTGCAGTTTGAGAATATTGAGATATCTTTCCTACACAATTTATCTAGAGTCTGGCATCTTGGTCTTTCAGTTAGTTCTCAAAGACCTAGTGAAACATGTTTTTGACATTCTTTTGCACCTTTGAACCAGATACTTTTTGGGAGAAGAGAATATTAAAATCGTGTACGTTGTGGTTTAAAGTGGTCAAAATTAAAACTGACTTTCTTTGCAAAACAGGAACAGAGCCTCATTATGAATGGCTACCAAGTTAACATGGGCAATCTGGAAGTAAAGCAGTTAGTGGGTTTCGTTCTTTAGAGAGGGTTGCAGAAGAGGAGAGGGGATCCAGAGGAATCTCAGACAGTGGGACAATGCCTGCTATCTGATTTGGGTCCAGTACAAGCACTCCTGTATTTCCTACCACCACTGAAAAGAAATCTAACATTTCCCAAACTGTTTTGAACAGCATCATTACAGGATGACTGGTTAGGCTGTATACTGCTCCATACAAACACATAGAGCATGTATAGGATACGTTACTCCCATCTGAACTTCAAAATGGCAGTCAGGTTCTTATGTATGTCATTGGACCCAATTTGAATATTATGGGCAGAATCTTCCCAGTCCCAGAGGGGTAGGCCTGAAGACAGCACAGGGAGGAAAAATCAAAAATGTTAGCATCAGGTCAGCAAACAAAAACATTCCAACTTGTGGCTGACCCTTCTGGAAGCAGTCACCACCGGCAGAGGATGCCAACCAAGAAGTGGCAGGTAGCCCATTTGAATAATTAATTGACCATTTATGAACTGATTTGAAATGCCACAAGGAGCTTCTGACTGGCCAGGGAGATACATGAGGTCTGTTAGTTTAACCACCCCATCCCCACCCAAAAACATTGGTCAGCAGGTCACATTTGTGCCTGCCAATCATCCTGTAGGGTGTTTCCTCTCTACTGAAGTGGCTGGGCCAGAATTTCCTTTTAAGGAATTCTAACTTCAGCGGTTGTCTCAAAATGGTGGTGCATTCTGACAGTAGGGCTGCCAATCTTCCAAGGCTGCAAGACCTGTTTTGGACCTGCTGCCCTTGGAAACTACCCACCATCTTTAATTGGACAGCAGATCCAGAGACGGCCTCTGAAGTGGTCACTTCTGCAAAGCTCTCCCAGGCAGGCACCTTGACAGGAAGAGTGGGGCCGGACATGGTCCTGCACTGGACTATATTTAGTGGCCACAGGATTCTATACTACGAGTTACTTCCTGCCTAACAAGCAAACCAGCTTTCTATCTCAGGACTCTGTTCACGATGCTTACAGCTAGCATGTCAATGCAAATAGAGTGGATAGTGACTTGAATCCACTTGTCCATTTACGCTAGGCAGAAGGATTTAAATTAAGTTCAGATGAAGGCCCATATGAATGGATTAATACTTTCAGGTGATCCCTATAGCTACGAAAGCTTGAAAACTAGTGATATAAACTGTATTGTAACTAACGGAGTAAGTGCAGCAACATCTGCCATTGAGCATAAATTCTCATCAAAAATTATGTTTGAAACATGTCACAGTGATCATGGTGCCATTGCATCCCTGTGCTTATCTGTCTTGTTCTGCTCTGTATTTATTAACTTGTTATCTGTTCTCTGGATACACTGATAGCAAATGAATTTTCCAGATAAAGAAGCCGAATTCCGTAAACATTATGAGTAGAAAAGTAAAAACATATTTCAAATGCTTTACTTGTCATTGTTGACTTTGTTCATACTGTAGCGCATTGCTCTAGAACAGAAAATAATTCAGTAATTTATGCCTTTCTTTTCCCAGTCTGGAAGTAAATATAAAAACTTAGGAACCACTTTGCATCCTTTCACCCAAGTAAACAAGTTCAGCTAAAGAAGATTAGTCCAACGCCAAACCGAAAATAGACCAAACATGGACAGCACTGTCATGACAAAGCAAAACATACAACTATCCAGTTACTCCAGTTGACACCCAATCAGTGCAGGAACTCTGGACACATACTGAACAGTGATTTAACTATTGCCTGCTTGGCTTGTGGAGCTGGCAGGTGTGTGACAGTGAAACTGAATCTGTTCTTATAAAAACATTTACGATGAGGCTCGTTACCACTTCAAAAAGAAACGGGTAGGAACCGCTCACAGTCGGATAGAGAGCAGTTCAACAACATCCATTTCCTGGCATCTGGACCTCACAGGTTTAGCTGCAAGTTCAAGACTTGAAAACTGGATACTGTCCAATCCAAGCTATTACGCCTTGGTTTTGCAAAGATTAAAGAAAGGAATGCCTAATTATTGTGGAAGATCGTGTGTGTGCTTTGTGCCTTAGCTAAGAATTCTCAGTGCCAAGGAATTTAATGCCAAGGTTCTGAAAACCTAATGGTGCCATTAGAGAATTTAGCTTTAAGAAGGAACTGAGAGAATTTATATAATGTTAATTGCTTTGGCACAGTGAAATGGGGTACTGTTGGCATTCCATGTTTTCTAAAGTGACTAATTAAACTGAGAATAAAAGGCTGAAATGAAGCTCTGCATCAATACAAAAATATCCCTTTTACATAAAGCCATTTGACCTAATAGTCTTTCAAACTTCAGAGCATTTTGTAATATTCCATTGAAAATGTTTCAACAATGTTGTTTTAATGAGTTTAACGCTCTTGTACTAGCTTGCAGCTAAAATGAGATTTAAGCCTGGAATGTAATGTTTATCTTAGTCTTGCTTAGGTAAATTCTCAGAAAATAAAACAAATATATAGCATATATTTCCGTTACTTACAGGAACTAAGGACTTAAATAGGCAATAGATTCTCAGTCTTTTACAACATGTACAAATAGTCACCGATCAGTATAGGATTAATTAGATGCATCCCGAAAGCAGGCTCAAAGTACACGGCATCCAGTCGATTAACGCAGACTCATGTAACTAAGTAAAAGCAACTACAACTGAATGAAGGTTCGAATAGGTTTAATAATATTCCACAAGTCTTGACACAAATTTGAAATTTAATAAAATGTTGGTGATACTCTGATATCAGTAGCAGAATGATTCATTAGATTATCGGAATATAATGATTAATTTCAAGGTCAGATTTTATTCCAGTTGTCAACAAATGTACAACAGAACAAGCACTTTGTTTCCCAAGTACTGACTAGCCAGATTTCTACAGAAGTAAGAACAATGCATACTTCTCTGGCCTTAAATTATTGTTGAAAACGGGGGCCACAAAGCATTTTAAAAGGAAGCTAAATAGTTCTTTTAAAATGTATATTCAACATTATAGGGAGTGGGAAATGATTTAGATGACAATATAGAAGGCATGGTTAGTATGTTTGCAGATAACACCAGGAATGTTGGTATAGTGGACAGTGAAGAAGGTTATCTAAGTTTATAAAGAGATCGTGATCAATTGGGTCAATGGGCTGAGGAGTGGCAGATGAAGTTTAATTCAGATAAATGTGATGTATTGCATTTTGGCAAAATAAGCAAAGGCAAGACTTTATACAATTAGAAGTAGTCCCTTGGGTAGTGTTCCAGAACAGAGATACCTAGGGGTATGGGTACATAATTCTTTGAAATTTGCACCACATATAGATAGGTTGGTTAAAAAGACATTTAGCATGCTTGCATTCATTGCTCAGACTTCGAGGTTGGGATGTTTTGTTGATGTTGAACAGGGCATTGGTGAGGCTTGTTCTGGACTACTGTGTCCAGTTCTGGTCTCCCTGTTATAGGAAGAATATTATTAAGCTGGAGAGGGTTCATAACAGATTTACCCGGCCATTGCCGGGAAGGGAGGGTTTGAGTAATAAGGATAGGCTGGATAGGCTGAGACCTTTTCACTGGAGCGTGGGAAGTTGAGGAGTGACCTTATAGAGGTTTATAAAATCATGCAGGTCTAGATAAGGTGAATGGCAGGTGTCTTTTCCCTAGGGCTGGGGATTTCAAAACTAGGGGGCATATTTTTAAGATGAGGACAGAAAGATTTTAAAAAAGACTTGGAGGCAACTTTTTTACACAGAGAGTGGTTCGTGTATGGAATGAACTTCCATGGAAAGTGGTGGATGCGGGTACAGTTACAACATTTAAAAGATAGTTCGATAAATACATGAATAAGAAATGTTTGGAGAGATATGGGCGAAGCACAAGCAGGAGGGGGACTAATTTAGTTTGGGAGTATGGTCGGTGTGGACTGGTTGGACTGAAGAGTCTGCTTCCTTGCTCTGTGACTCTGTGACTCTATGAAAATACAGTGAAAATCAACTAAATGGCTCATGTAAACAAATGCAGCAAGGTAGGTTTGATGAAGGAAGTATTATGTTTCTGTGATGCTGAATTCTAAGATTTTTTTTAATCAACAGATGAAACAGAAGCTTTTTCCAGAAATTGCTCATTTTTTCCCCAGTCCTCAACTAACATCGATTATGCACTTACCTTCATGCAGTGGTCATCATGGCAGAATAACAAAATCTCTCTTCACTTTCTATTCTAAAGCTATTTAATTGTAACTAATTGATCTAACTCTCTGCTTAGATCAGTTTAAAAAAAAAGCATAGGCTGAGAATTCAACCTGGAGCTTTTCTGTCTGTACAAATCAGAGAAGTGTTTTTAAAAAATAGCTGAGCCAAAGAAAAACTGGACAAAAGAAAACACTTGGAAACATCTAGCTGGTGATTTACATCCATTTAAATCACAAAAAAGAATTGAAGGTAAAGTGGAAAAATGTTACACAAGGAGTGATTAATCCAAGTAGCATTCTTTGCTACAAACCATTAGTACAGCAAAGTTTATAATGCTTTCAAAAAGCATTAGCTGTTTGAAAAGGAAAACTATTAAATGTCAGGAGAACAAACAAGATTTTACTAGCACCCAACCTCTTTGGGATGTTTATACTTCATTAAAGGCATTCAGTAAGGGTAAATTGTTGTAAATAGTTCACTTGAGAAAAAGCAAAATTGCATTGTTCAATCCTGTTCTGTAACATTTTATCACAGAAAACTATGGTCTCTATTAAAAATCAATGGCATTGGCTAGGGGGCAGTAACCTGAATAAAACACAAAACCTTTCATTTATACCTTCACAATATTAGAATGGCCCAAGCATTTTATAATCTAAAGGATACTTTTGAAGTGTAGTAGGAATGTAGAAAATGTGGTAAACAATGTCTGCACAACAAATTCCCATGCACGTCCACAGAATGAACAAGGAGATAATGTGTTAGATTCCCTGAGGGGTGACCATCACAGTCAGATTGCCTCTCCACTCTTATTTATTCATTTGCGGGGTTCTGGCATAGCTGGTTAGGCTAGCATTTATTGCCTATTGGCCAGTAAAGAGCCCACCACATTGCTGTGAATTTGGTGTCACATATAGGCTGGATCAGGTAAGGATGGCAGATTTCCTTCCTCGAAGGACAATTTTTACATTAAGAAAGAACTCCACACTTCTGACAGGAGTTTCTGATTAGGGCTACCTCAGAAACAACGAGCTGTACTTCATGTCTGACTAGTCCCTTGTAGTACAGGAGAGTAAGGGATGGCAAACCATGCCCCCTTTCGCACAACACTCAGTTGCCACCCTATTCTGCGATTCAAATGTCTGGCATTACAGACAACCACTTTGACAACTCTTTCAAAAGGTTAAATGAGTAAGGTAAATGTGAATTAAGATTGCTAGGATGATAGAGTGCAAGGTCAGTAGGGGTTATGGTGCCAGGTAATAGGGTGCTGGCTAAATAGGTTCATAGGCCTGTAGGGTGTCAGGTAACAGGAGTGCCTGGTTGCAGGCTGCCAGATGACAAGGGGGCCAGGTAAGTGATGAAGTATTTAGGGTTGGCAGGGTTACGTTGACGTGGACGGGGACATTGAGTCTGGCGAGGCAAAGGGCTGTTAAGGGGCCCCCATGGAGGGTGAAGGAGATGGTTGTCAGTCCTGGCAGTAGAGAGGATCTCACATTCCTAAAACTGGGGTAAAAGGGACTGTTAGGTCCAATGGTAGGGATTATTGCATCCTGGGATGTTGGGTTAAGGTCTGGTGGTGGTGTAGTGAGAGTGGTATGTGTTACATTGAAGGAGGCAGTTTCACAATTACTCTGAAGTTAAGCTAGCTTTTTAACAATCTAACATTTCCTGCATAACTATTTACTTAACTGCAGCAGGACCCTCTGAATTCTCTAATTTTAATAGATATTTTCAGGGGATTTTAGGCCCAGAGAATTTCCGAACAGACTCTTCAATTGCCTAGACATTTCCCTCAAAATCTGCCACCCTGGGGAGTCTATTCTACGGAAACGACTGTCGGGCCATCAGAAAATCCAGGTCAGTTTGTTTTAGGTTGGTTTGGCAGAACAACAGGACAGTTTCCTGCTCTCTGAGTGGTGCCATGGTTTCTTTATGCTCACATTAGAAGGCAGACATCCCACCCAATACTGCACTACAGTGTTGGCCAACATTATGTGCCTGATTCTCTGGAATCAGTTTGAACTCCCAACTTTCTGACTCAAAAAATGCTGCTGAGCAATTGCTCAGAACATCATATTCCACAATCATTAATAATACCTCAGGAAACCTAGCGTGGATGTCGTTGATGTCAAGTAACATGAAAATAAACAATGCATTTAAAAAAAACACATTTTTAAAAAACCTGTATTAAGCTTTAAAGTTCTATATCAGTAATAGTTTCTAACAGTAGAACATTTGCCTCAAATCTTTTCCTAAGTAAAACATAGACACTGTGAATGGAATAATTATATTATGTATTCTTTATTTTCCCCATTACTATTTTTCTTTATTGGATATTCACAAAGGAACTGGAAAATTATTTCTATTTTACAACTAATATGTGGTTATCTGTGTTATGACACTTTTTACAATAAAATAATACTTTGTTTGTCATTATAATTGTAAAATTTTGACACTTTTTTTTGTATTTAATTTTCTTCCAGGTTTCCTTTAGGATCATTCACTAGTCGTAGACTGAAGAACATTTGGATTAGATCTGACAACCAGAACAAAATCTCTTTCCATTGTACTTGGGAAAATTCAGATTAATGGATCAGCTGAGTGAATCTCACAAGCCCCTAGATGTTTCTTACTCATTGTAGATCATGAGTTGTGAGGCAAGAATCTTACCCCTGGTTCTACGAAGCTTTACTTGTTCTAGTTGCATCTGGTCATGATTCCCAACCCCTCCACCTGCCCATCTTGAATGAACATCTCCATATCATAACAGCTGCTTGAAATTGTGCAGCATTCCCATCACATTTGGGCTACAGGCTTGCAAAGTAACCAAGTTGAGGGAAGGCAATGGCCTAGTGGTATTATCACTGGACTGTTAATTCAGAAACCTAGATAGTGTTCTGGGGACGCGGGTTTGAATCCTGCCATGGCAGATGGTGGAATTTGAATTCAATAAATATCTGGAATTCAGAATCTAATAATGACCGTGAATCCATTGTCGATTGTCAGAAAAACCCATCTGGTTCACTAATGCCCTTTAGGGAAAGAAACTGCCATCCTTACCTGGTCTGGCCTACATGTGACTCCATACTCACAGCAATGTGGTTGACTCTTAACTGCCCTTGGGGCAATTAGGGATGGGCAATAAATGCTGCCTGGTCAGCGATGCCCTCACCCTGTGAACAAATAAAGTTATTCAATATCTATAGCTGTTTGACACAACGATGCTAATTGATTGTAAGCCAGATTTTCTAGCCAAAAGAAAGGAGATCAGGGCAATAGTGCTCGACCTTAGACTGTTATCTACTAGAAAGTTTCAAATAGTTTTGTGTCTCTGCCTCAAAGTTGCGTGCAGTTGGCCACCACTGTGGGGATATATACATACAGGATAGGGGCCAGATATAGAAAAATGCAGTGCAAAGTCTACTGTGGAATCAGTTGGACCTTTTGAAAAGTTCAGACAATGCAAAGAGCAAGCCAAAGTGTTGCACCATAGTTTTTTCTGTGTTTTGAATTTAATTAAAAAGTA